AAAAAAAAAAAAACGCAGAAAGAGAAGTATTCTTGTGCAGAAAAAAAGGAAAAGCACTTATCTGTCCGCCTTGGGAGAAGAGAAGAGAGCAAATCTACCCCATTATTTATATTCTAGTTTTGGAAGGGCACAAATGCATAGCAAACTTCTTTTCCCCTTCCTCATATGTTCTGCTATGCTCTTCAAACTTCTCAGTCTCAGTACTACCTTCTGGCTGCCCTCAACGCCTCTACTACGGTCACTCACTCAGGTCTGCCTTCCTCTACCAATCCATCCTCATGTCTCTTCAAAGTAGACTGTACATAGGCAGCAGCTATTCCACTTTGTAGATTCAGAAAATGAAAGAGAAATGACACCCCAATATCCTGCTGTAAAACTGTGGAAACATTTAGAACAAAACCCTGTGAGCTGGGTGTGGTGGTACATGCCAATAATCCAGCAGCTGGGGAGACTAAAGTAGGAGGATCACAGATTTGAGATCAACCCCAGCAACTTAGTAAGGACGTAAACAACGTAGTGAGACTCCATCTCAAAATAAAACATAAAAAGGGCTGGGAAGTGGCTCAATGGTTAAGTGTGCCCTTGGGTTCAATCTCTGGTACCAAAAAAAAAAAAAAAAAAAAAAGAATAAAACCCTGTGTTCTTACCTTATAGAAGACAGGTGGACATTACCAAAGAGAAAAACAAATTCTTCCACTATTAAATCTCTGTTCACTTTAAATCACAAGACTTTATAAGAACCAAGCCTAGTCAGGTGAGATTAGAGGTGAGTCATAAAAATTACTCAGGTCCTGAGTATTTCAGAATTTCAGAAAAATTCCCTCTATTTCTAAAAAAAAACTTCATGATATATCAGCTTCAAGTAGATAAATTAATAAAAGAATATGCTATGTTAAAAAATATAAATTAGGGCTGGGGTTGTAGCTCAGTGGTAGAGCACTTGCCTAGCATGTGTGAGGCACTGGGTTATATTCTCAGTACCACATAAAAATAAATAAATAAAATAAGGGAATTGTGTCCATCTACGACTAAAAATATTTTTGAAAAAGTATAAATCAGGGTTGGGGACATAGTTCAGTGATACACCATGTTTTTTGGCATGTATAAGGCCCTGTGTTTAGCATGCATAAGGCATGCTAAACAAGTATGAATCAAAATTGGTGCCAGTGCAGTGGTACACATCTGTAATCCCAGCAGCTTGGGAGGCTGAGGCTGGAGGATTGCAAGTTTAAAGCCAGCCTCAGCAAAAGAGAGACACACTAAGCAACACAGTGAGACCCTGTCTCTAAAGAAAAATACAAAATAGGGCTAGGGATGTGGCTCAATGGTCCAGTGTCCTAAGTTCAATCCCTGGTACCAGCCCCCTGCCAAAAAAATTGGTTATAGTGACTGGTATTTCTTTCTTTTCTTTTAAATGTTTTATTTCTGTGTTTTAAGAAACAGTATCAGACTAGCAAAGATTGAAAAAAATAAAAAGTTTCTAATTTTTTTTCTTCAAATGGAAGGAAGTAATTGACAACTTTCAGTAAAATGTTATCTACCTTAAATCTCAGAAATATATTAACAATAAAAATTATCATCATCATCATCATCATCATCTTTTTCTTTTTTGAAGACTAGATCTTGCTATATTGCCCAGGCTGATTTTGGACTCCTGGGCTCAAGTGATCCTTCTACCTCAGTCTCTTAAGTAGCTGGGGACTATAGGGATGCCTTACTACTGAAGGAAAAAAATTATTTTTAAAAGTCAGATACAACTTTGAAAAGATAAATAAGATTGAGAAATCCTTAGCCAAATAGCCAAAAGAATGAATGAAAAGACAGAAATCAACAAGATTAGAGATGAAAAAGGAGATATTACCACAGAGCCTTTTAAAATCCAGAGCATTTTCAGAACTTATTTTGAAAATTTATATTCCAATATAAGTTTGGGTGGTGGGACTGCAGACTAGTATAACCACTCTGGAAAAAAGTATGGAGATTCCCCAAAAAACTAGGGATGGAACCACCACATGACCCAGCCATCTCACTTCTTGGTATTTTCCTAAAAAAATCTAAAATCACCCTACAGTGACATAGCCATCTCAATGTTTACTGCAGTACAACTCAAATAATTAAGTTATGGAATCAAACCAGATGCCTGTCAATAGATGAATGGATTAAGAAATTGTGATACACACACACACACATACACACAATAGGAATTCTACTCAGTCATAAAAAAGAATGCAATTATGGCATTTGCCTATAAATGGATGGAAATAAAGAATATCATGTTAAGTGAAAGAAGCCAAATTCAGAAACTCAAAAGTTGAATGTTTTCTCTCATATGTGGAAGTTGAAGAAACTGGGAGGACAGGATAGATAACATGAAGAACCAATCAAATACAAATTAATAGATGAGAGAAAGGAAGTCTAGTGGAGTAGAAGAAGGAGAATGAGAGAGGGGAAGGAAGATTAGAGGGAAAAAGAGGGATTGTGAACTAAAATCAATTTCAATGCATGTGTGTTTGTCAGGATGAACCCACCTACGATGTATAACTGTAAAGCTCTAATTTTTAAAAAAGTTAGATAATAAAACTAATTTTAAGCTAAAATCTCGTAAGACTTAAGAGTGTACTGAGGCTGAAGTGCAGTGATAAAGCCCTTGCCTAGTATGCTGGGTTCTACCCCAACACTGCAAATATAAATATAAACAAAGATAATATTTTTTGTAAATGTCTAACTTAGCAGTAAAGCCACTACAAACCATTTTTTTAAAATTAGGCAGGCTAGGGCTGGGAATGTGGCTCAAGCGGTAGCACGCTCGCCTGGCATGCGTGGGGCACTGGGTTCAATCCTTAGCACCACATACAAATAAAATAAAGATGTTGTGTCCACCGAAAACTAAAAAATAAATATTTTTTTTAAGAGAGAGGGGGAGAGAGAGAGAGAGAGAGAGAATTTTTAATATTTATTTTTTTAGTTATTGGCGCACACAACATCTTTGTTTGTATGTGGTGCTGAGGATCGAACCCGGGCCGCACGCATGCCAGGCGAGCGCACTACCGCTTGAACCACATCCCCAGCCCTAAAAAATAAATATTAAAAAAATAAAAATAAAAATTAGGCAGGCTAGAATACTTCAAAATACAATGTTTTATGACAAAAGTAGAATTTTAATTCCCAAATTACATGATTTATAACAAAAACATTTTGATTTAAATATATTTTTTAAATTTACCTTTTGTTCCTGCAAAAACTGGTCTGCTAACTTTTTAATATTTTCTTCATGCTGTGCTCTTAATTCTTTGATCTGTTGTCCACACTGAAAACTAAATTACAAAGGCATTCTTTTAGATTATATAATGTTGGGTTGAATTCTCAAAGTTGTCTAGAAGTTGACACACACATTTAGAAAGAAAACATTCAGTAAGCAGAAGAATGAATAGATAATAATACACACAAAAAAAACAAATAACTTACAGTCAGAATTTTTAAAATATTTGAACCATTAATAGGAAATATGAAATACCAATGAAGTTAACTGAAAAAATAAATTGAAAAGATGAAAACTCCCAGGGGCTCGGGAGGCTGAGGCCCTAAGTAACTCAGTGAGACCCTGCCTCTAAATAAAATATAAAAAATGTGGCTCAGTGGTTAAGCGCCCCTGGTTTCAATCCCCAGTACCAAAAAAGGAAAAAAAAAAAAAGGAAAGAAAACAAACTTGACTGCATCATTTTATATATTGCATTTATAAAGAAACAATTGTCAAAGTTRATTTCAATCACAGAAGAGAAAAATACTATAGAAAACTGTGAAACCAGTTTATAATAATAGGATGAGAAAGACTAGAATTATTAGAGTAGATAAAGAATGGCAACTATTGTTTTGTCCAATAGTATCTTAAACACAACATTAAAATTTTAAACCAGAGAATAAGGGGAATGGAAGAAACCAATAAAAAAGATAAGAGTGAAAGAAAAAGTGAAAGAAAGCAAAACAGTTGAAGGTGGTAACTTTCTGTGGGACTAAGAGTCAAAGAATACAAGTACATCATTCATGCAAAAATACATAGTTCATAAGTACACAAAAAAAATATTAACTTTCATAATTATAAAATGCAAATTAAACTTTCTATATGGATATATGGTAGTACCTTATTTTCCTATATTAGAGTAAATGTCAGTATTACAAATTAGAAAATTAGAATAATCTTTTTTTTTTTTTTTTTTTTTTTTTTTTTGCAGTACCCGGGATAGAATCCAGGGATGTTTCACCTCTGAGTTAGTTTCAGCCCTTTTTGTGAATTTGAGACAGGGTCTAAGTTGCCCAACCATGTTTTGAACATGCAATCCTCCTGCTTCAGCCTCCTGAGTTGCCTGAATTTCAGAAGTGTGCCATGTGCCTGGCTAGATAATCACTTTAGAAAGCTATCTCTCATCAATGCTGTTAGAGCAACGAAATTGGTAAAATATTCTTTCCCAAGAATTCTACATTTGAGAAGACACACTAGTAAAATAAGGGGGGGGGAAACCTTTTTTGCATAAAAATTTTTAAAGCTGTGATAATCATAATATTGAAAAAAGGGGAAATTTCTACAGTGATCCAAAAACTGGGAAAAATTAAACAAGTTTTGTTACACTAATATACTGAATAATATATTACCCCTCAATATGTTAAGTCTTTTTTTCTTTTTTTCCTTTTTTTGAGACAGGTTCTCACTATGTTGCCTAGGYGGGCCTCAGCCTCCTGAGTAGCTGGGATTATAGGCACATACTATGATACCTAACTAATAGGTTAAATCTTAAATCCTATAACTACACAGAAAAGTACTAAATACTATTAGGTTAAAATACATATATGTAAGTGCAGATGCATACCGATAACCTATAGCAGTAAGAAATTAGAAATGGATAAGCTTTTAAAATATGGCGAGTCTTTCTAATTTTTGCTGTATAAATCTAAAATAATAACTTTTACCAAAAATATCATAAAAGTTTTTAATGAATGTTTGCTAGAAAAGTCCCTAAGAGGTTCCCCATCCTCATCACAAAATGTAGAAGTGTAAGCAAGGGAATTGAAGTGCAGAGCAGGAGAAGCAACCAGCACTCTTAGTCTCTTTGCTATTCTTGGGCCATCTCCCAAAGACAGCTTCATCTTTAAGATCCCCTTAAAAAGAATTCAGTCTTGGCTATATCCAATTTGATAAAACTCAAGAGATTTAAGGTTTATGTCTCACAATGGACACCACAACATAGACAAATTCAACATGTCCTATAAGAAATATTTTCATGTTTAGCATATCAAAATAAAAGCCATCAAAAGACAAAGTGAAACAAACTTAAAAGAACTAAGAATATAAAAAAAGAAAAATAATCCAGAAAAGAAGAAATTAATTAAGTCCAAAGTTAAACAATATTTCAGTTTCATAAATATCTGTTGCATGTATCATCTTACCTTTCATACTCTAACCTCTTCACAAGGTAAGTATTATTCTTCCTATAGTCCTGAAGCTGGTCTTCTTGTCGAAGAAACTCCTGTCGAAGTTCAGCAAGTTGTTCTATCCACACAAGGTAAGAACCAAAGGAACTAAGTTTACTAAGAAACTATGGAATGTTTTAAAATTACATACATTTCTCARTTTCTTTATTCATATTCTCAGGAAACTAAATCATAGCACAATTTAATTATCTTTCATAACATACTCATGGTAAGTAAGATTTATTTTTAAAATAATATAGCTTCTGGCTGAGGTTGTGGGTCAGGGGTAGAGCGCTCACCTAGCACGTGCAAGGCCCTGGGTTCAATCCTCAGCACCACATAAAAGTAAATAAATAAAAACAAAGGTGTACAAGTAAAARAAATAAATATTTTAAAAAATAATATAGCTTCAACTCCTTTCACATCAACCTGAAATATTTGTAAAATTATATACCTTTGAATATTAAATAGACAAATACTATGCTATGTCAACAGTACCAAAAATACTACCTCTTTCTCGAAACCTATCTGCTTTAAAAGAAGTAGAAAAAGAAATCATGGAAATGACCACCATGGATACAGAATTCAAGTCTTCTTTTTAATTTTAAATCCCATCTGTCTACCAATTTAGATGGCAATCACTTTAAATCTCATTTCTAATTCTACTACTCCACTTAAAATTCCATTTTTAAACTCATAATTTCTGATCTAGGGCTTAATGTTTTTTATGTTGTTGTTTGTTTTAGTACTGGGGATTGAGCCCAAGGTACTTTACTACTAAGCCACATCCCCAGTCCTTTTTTTTTTTTTTTTCTTTTGAGACAGGATCTTTCTAGGTTGCTGAGGCTGGCCTGGAACTTGCAATCCTCCTGCCTTAGCACCCAGCCTTACTAGGATTATAGGCATGTGCCACCATGTCATCAGGACATTCTTAGTTATAATGAATAATATGAAATTCCAAGCTGGATAGCAAATTAAAGTCTGAACCAGATAATCTTTTGTAAACATTTAATTCATAATCACTGGCTACCCATTTTCTAGATTTCTTTCCTTTATTACGTGAGTTCACAAAGAAAAAAAATCAGGCAAAGAAGAGTAAATGTTGATTTCTTGGAGAGATGATTAAAAAATTACTTAACAACCTTAGCAATTAAGCAATATCAGTAATAAAAAAGTCCTAATTTTTATAAGTGGGATAAAGATCTGTACTGTATAAAAAGCAGCTATTAATGAACAAATACTATGAACCATATAACATCTGTTTTTCATGGAAGGCTCATAAAATTATTCTTATTACTCTAAAGATTCTCTAAAAACACTCAAGTTGTGTGTGGAGGTGCAKGCACATGTGCGTGCGTGCATGCACACATACACACACTCAGACTATACAAACACCTTCCCCCACCCAGAACTGGAGACTGAAGCCAGGGCCTCACATACTTATTGCATCCCCAGCCCTTTTAAAATTTTTAAGACAGGGTCTCACCAAATTGCCTAGGCTGGCCTCAAACTTGCATCCTCTGCATGTAGCAGGGTGTATATTTTTAAAAAGCAGATGTAGGAGTTGGGGGTAGCTAGATTAGTGGCAGAGCAAGTTACTTAGCATTTGCAAGGTCTTAGTTTCAATCCTCAGCACCAAAAACAAACAAACAAAAAAAACCCTCAGATGTAAACATATAAATGCATCCATGTTAAAAAAAAAAGAATAAAACTACATCAAAGTGATCAGTGATTATGTCTGGTGGCATTATAACTGTGGCAATAAAAATGAATAAATTTTTTTAAGTTACATGAACATTTGTTGATATATATACAAATGAAAAATTAGTGACTTGTAGCTCATTGGTATAGAACTTGTCTAGAGTTCTGGTTCAATGTCAAACACAACAAAAGAAAAATATATATATTTGTATAAAATGTTTATAGTTAATAGTCTTTACATATTTAGGCCATGTTTTAAATTTCTACTTCATTCTGTTCTCCAATATGTAAACATGGTTGATCTATTCTGACCTCAGACAAGTGAAATTAATCAGTAGCCAGGTAACCATAAATAATATATTCAGTTCGTTATCCGATCCCTATTCCCATCTCCTAAGATTTAGCAGGCTGGAAGTAGAAGAAACCCTGCCTGGCCCAAGCTATGAATATTGATTCTAGAGAGACAATGAGATTCCTGCAAGAAGCAGTATCAAAAAGCCTTGAAGCTAACCAGTTCATTAAACCTGTGCTCAGGCTAGATAGGTTCTATAACTAAAGGTTACTTCAATTTAAAAAAAGAAGAAGAAAATCAGTAACTATGAAGAATAAACTAAAATTGGTGATTGTTAGTGTAAACACTTTTCAGGAAAAAGGGAACAGAAAGATTACAGAACTTTCTCCTTATTTAGGCTTCCTTTTCCTAGTCTGTAAAATACCTGAAGTAGCTTCAGAATGAACCTAAGATTTAGTATCATTTCAAGGGGTAGAATRGCTGCTGTCTCCCCATAAAATTATTGAAATTCCTCATCAGGAAACAAAACTTTCATTTAYAATTGAAGAGAAAAAGCTTAAAATCCAATTAACAAAGAAAAATCAAAACAGTATGAATGAGTTTTAGGCCATGTAAAACATCAGATTATTTCCTGTTTGGATAAGGAAAAGGATTATAAGGGAGGAATTTAAGGCTGGGGATGTGGCTCAGTAGTAGAGTGTTTATCTAGCATGTACTTGGCTCTGGGTTCAATCCTTAGCACCACAAACAAAAGCAGAGATTCAATTGGTGCTTTAAGTAAGTCAAAACAAAGACTTGAAACAGAAAAAATAAATAGACCAGAAAGTAAAGACAAAACTTTTCTTTATCATAATTTAACTTCCAACTAACTGACATATGTTTTCTTTATATAACCTGGCATAAGATGTATMTATTGTGGCTGCTCTTGGTCAAGATTCGCTGGGAAGATTGAATATAAGTAAGTCCCCAGCTGATARTGCAGGGCCTTCTATCTCTGAATGTAATATCAGAGTATGTTATAGAAAAGCATGGCTATACTTCCTTAATTTAACTTCTAAAAATGAGGGGTAGGTATGAAAGATGTTATTTARGACTAGCTTCCCCCACCCACCCCCATGATGCTGGGAATTGAACCCAGGACAACTTGCATGCTAGACAAATATTCTACCACTGAGCTATATCCCAGCCCTCTTAAGACTGGGAATTTTTAAAGCAAAAAAATATTTACTTCTAGAAAATTTTGACTTCAAATTTTCTTTCCATAATTGGCCCAAAAAGAAGGTGAAACACTCAAAATAAATAAATGCATACTAATTCATGTAAACTAGTTAATGTATTATTTCAGGAATTTAAAAAACAATTCTTATTAATTTCATTTCCAAGAAATATTTATCACCATAGTTTTTTTAAGGGTCTCAGTATCTATTAATTTCAGTATACTGAGTATTAATTTTAAAAAATTCAAATCTGGATTTGGTAATTAACTTGTCAAGAAGTTTATTTCATTAGAAACCATTCAAGTTATAAAAGATGAAATTCARTCTTAAAAATTAGCTCATGTCTATAACCCAGCAACTAGAGGCTGAGGAGGAGGATTATAAATTYGAGGCCAGCCTGGCAACTTAGTGAGATCCTGTCTCAAAATACAAAATAAAGAGCCAGGGATGTAGCTCAATGGTAGAGTGCCCTGGAACCACAATCCCCAGAACCATAAAATAAATAAGTTAAATTAAAAAGATTAATTTATTTTTATAAAGGACTAAGAATGTAGTTCAGTGGAAAAGTGTTTGCCTAGCATGTTCAAGGCCCTGGGTTCAATCCCCATTGCTTTAAAAAAAAAAAAAAAAAATAGTCTAAGCTTCAGTGAGTGCACTAAAAATCAAAAGTCATACAGGTATAGCTTCAAATCAGTCTTTTTCTCTGCTCAAGAGTACCACACAAAATTTCAAAATATTTTAAGATCTACCTCAACATACTCAGTTCCATAAAGATTTTTTACTCAGTATATAGGTTGTCATTTTCCTTAACATACATTAACAGAAGCCACAGGACTTCTTACTCAATTGATTTATTACTATTTAATAAGAAATATAGGGGCTGGGGATGTGGCTCAAGCGGTAGCGCGCTTGCCTGGCATGCGTGCGGCCTGGGTTCGATCCTCAGCACCACATACCAACAAAGATGTTGTGTCYGCCGTGAACTAGAAAATAAATATTAAAAATTAAAAAAAAAAAAAAGAAATATAATGTTTTTATACTGGGGATAGAACCCAGGGGCACTTAATCACTGAGCCACATCCCCTGCCCCTATTTTTAAAATATTTTATTTACAGACAAGKTCTCACTGAGTTACTTAAGGCCTCCCTAAGTTGCTGAAGCTGTCTTTGAACTCAAGATCTTCCTGTCTCAGCCTCCAGAGCTGCTGGGATTAAATGCATATGCCTGGTGCAAGAAACCCAAAAAATATACTTTGATGACTAGTGGACTCATTTGTAAAAACTGCAAACTGCAAGCAGCACGACAGTGACACATCTTCTGTCATACTAATGTACTCTGTGAGTCAAAAAGAGTAGAAGAAAGACACTGAATGCAACAAAAACAAATGCAACAAATAAGAACCATTTCTCATACAAAGTTAAAGTTGTTCTAAATCATAGATACCAAAAAATGAACAATTTTTATTTTAGGGTTGCAAAACACAAATAACACTTTCAAATAGTTTTGCTATATGAGCAGAAAAACTTTACTACATTACAAAGAAAGCTTAGGTTGGCTTCTTTAAGGATGATAAAAATAGATCATCTAATTCTATATAAAAGAGGCTCAAAATGATAAAAGAATAAAAGGATATTTACAAAATTAGAAAGCATGTACTATCCCCAAAAATATACACTTTGAGTCAATGTGTATAAGGTTTTAAAATACACAGGTCTATAAACAAAAAGGTTGAGTTGGTCCTCAGACCCCAAACTCCAAAAGGCTGGCAGATGATATGAAGCAACAGAAGCAAAGTGTAGTGCTTCTTCACCTTACATATTTTTCCCATAAAAACACTTCCTATTACTTCCTATTACTTCATGAAAGAGAAATAAGTCACTTCCTATTACTTCATGAAAGAGAAAACGTGGGTACTGCTAAAATTAGTATTTTTATTTATTATATATTTATCTATCACTCAGGTTTCTTTCTGGTTCCAGAGAATCCAAAGCACTAAGCTTGGAGGACCTGTCCAAAGCATCCCTGAATCTGAATATGTTATTTTAGCACATTAGACCCAACACAGAGAAAACACTCATCTTTTCTACAGAAATTTGATGGCTTCTAAATCTACTACAGTTCAATTTTCTTTCAGAATTCTTTGAATAACATTTTATTGCATGAACTCTGTCTACATACAAGATTAAGACACAGACCTCAAATTTTAACTTATATTTACAACTTAAAAAACAACATTAAATAATTTTTTATTATGTCTTAGGATAAAGGGATAAATGTTTTGTCATCAGAGGAGCTTTGTTCAGAAAATTCTCTCATTTACCTAACTAGTATTTCTTAATTCTTGAAAATAGACTTTTAATAATCTCTATCTTTAATATAATTAAGTTTCTTACCCTTTAAATGATGTATGTCTGCCATCTGATATGATATGTTGTTCTGTAGTTTAACCTGAAAAAAATTAAGTTTTCATTTTACTAAAGAATACAGTTTTCCTCATATGTATCTTATTTTGCCCATCATATTCATTTTGTGCTTGATCATAAATGCAAACAAAAACTGATTATTTATACCCTATCTCTTTTCAAAAAGAAATGATATAAATTCTAATTTTATAATGCTTCTTTTAAATTTGCATGAAAATATTCACTTTACTTGATATACAGTGTAACAACTTTCAAAAGTTCGAAAGTATACCAGGCACGATGACTCATGAGTATTATCCCAGCAATTTGGGAGACTGAAGCAGGAGGATGGCAACTTTGAGGCCAGCCTCAGCAACTTAGAAAGGCCCTAAGCAACTTAGTGAGACAAAACCAAAAATGACTGGGGAAGTGGCTAAGTAGTAAAGCATCCCCTTTAGAACCAGGTGAAATCTATTCTTCAATCAAAAAGCTAGTGACTTTCAAATTCAAAATGAAAGTTTATCCATAAACAAGTAGCAGAGAAAGCCGAAATGTTTTGAAGCAAGAGTCAGAGTCTAGGAGTCCCATTCCATTCTAAATTTCTAAGGGGTTTGAAGAATGAAGTTTAAAATGTTGATATGCAGTCATATAAAATGAATGAAGTCCTAGTACATGATAAAACATTTGAAAACATTATATATGCTGTGTGGAAGAGATCAGTCACAATGGACAAATACTGTCTGATTCCATCTATGTGAATTATAATGAAAGGCACCCCGTTTCTGAAAGAACCCCCGTTTCCCTGTCCAAGGAGAATCACACGAAACACTGGCTGCAAAAGCAAGAGGTTTAGGTTTATTGGGACACAGGCGCCTGCGGGTGTCCAGCAGAACCTCAGCCGGAGCTTTGGTGAACTGGCACACCAGGCTCGGGGATACAGAGATTTTTATAGGGTTTGGGACAGGCTTTGCGCGCAGGAAGCAACAGGTTTCTTATTGGTTTGTTTAAATCTAGCATATAGGCCACCTAGGGGGTACAGGTCTGCATTCCAAACACCACAGGTCTGCATTCTATTCTTTCTGTTCCTGCTTATCTGTTCCTGTTTATTCATTCATGCCTCAGGATGTGGGTGCTCTGTCCTTTCTCAACCGGTTATATGGAAAGCACATCCGGTGCCTGAGCCTGTTTATGACAAGCCCGGTATCTTGATTTCATATCTTGGCCTTAGGTAACTGGGCTAACTGGGCTAGGGTCTTTCAATAAAGAACAGACAAATCCACAAAGACAGAAAGTAAGATTAATGGTTGGAGGTAGGAAGGAATGAGGAATTTTTATTTTTATTTTCCATGCTAAGGATCAAACCCAGGGCCTCATGCATGGTGAGGACACATTCTACCACTAAGCTATGTCCCCTACCTTGAGGAGTGACTTATTCTTAATGGGCATGGGATTTGTTTTCTGGGGATGAAAATGTTCTGGAATTAGATAGTAGTGATAATTATACAACATTATGAATATACTAAAACCCCCTGAATTATATTTTAAAAAGGTAAATTTTATGGTGCATGAGTTGTATCTCAATTTTTTTAACATGAAAGAAAATGTTGYTGCATGTACTAGGGGGTACCATAAGGAAACAAGATAAAACAATGAAAAAACTCTATGTACTGAAGGAAGGAGCTCACTGTTTTGGAGAGGGAGTTAGGTAACTGGGCAATTACAATATAGCAAAATAAATTATATCATTGGGTTCTATAGACATGATAGGAGAACTTAGYTGGGAAAACACTTTAAAACTACCCTTGGGGGGAAAGAGAAAACATCCTAGAGATGATGACCATGGCTGAAATGACTCCTGCAGAAAGAACAGTGTTTAGCCAAATGGAAGGCAGGAGAAGTAAGGAGGAAAGATATTCAAAGCATGTCAAAACTTGAAGTGAAAAACACTGAATATTCTAGGAATTGCAAACAGTTCCAAGAAGATGGAACAGAAAATTTAGGGAAATATGGTAAGACATACAGAAAGATAAACAAGGTCTATATTATAAAGGATCTGACAAACAATGTAGGTACATCCCATAAAATAACATGGTCAACTCTTTAAGGACTTTTAAATAAGGAAATGCAATGCAGTCTGAAGAGAAAACCAGAGGAAGCAAGATTAAAGGGAGAAAGATGAAAACAGAGACTATGGTCACAATAGAGGTAAGAGAATATGTTGGTTAAGCCAATGGTGTGCAAACTATGGTCTGTGAATCCTTTTTGTAAGGATAACAAACTAAAGATGGTTGTTACAGTTTTTATTATTGTTTTGTTTTTTATTTATTTTTGCATTACCAAAGATTGATCCTTTACAGCCGAGCTACATTCCCAGTCCTTTTTAGATTTTGGGTACAGGGGATTAAACTCGGGGACACTCGACCACTGAGCCACATCCCTAGCCCTATTTTGCACTGATTTAGAGACAGAGTCTCACTGAGTAGTTTAGCACCTCACTTTTGCTTAGGCTGGCTTAAACTCACTTTAAACTCAATCCTCCTACCTCAGCCTCCCAAGACACTGGGATTATAGGTATGTGCCACCATGCCTGGCCCTTTTTAGTTTTTAAACAGGGTCTTGCTAAATTGTTTAGGCTGGCTTAAAACTTGAGATCCTCGTGCCACAGCCTCTTGAGCAGCTGGGATTACAGGCAGGTGCCACCATGCCTGGTTTAGTTCATTTTTTTTTTTTAATTTTTAGTTATTTATTTAAATTAGGTATATATGACAGCAGAATGCATTTTGATTCATTGTACACAACTGCAGCACAACTTTACATTTCTATGGTTGTACACAATGTGACATCACACCATATGTGCAGTCATACATGTACCTAGGGTAATGATGTCCATCTCATTGCACCATCTTTCCTGCCCCTGTATATCCTCCCTCCCCTCCCTCCTCTTTGCCCAGTCAAAGTTCCTCCATTTTTCCCCTGCCTCCCCCATCCCCATTATAGATCAGCATCTACTTATCAAGAGAGAACATTCGGCCTTCGGTTTTTGGGGATTGACTTACTTTGTTTAGCATGATCTTCTCCAACTCCATCCATTTACCTACAAATGCCATAATTTTATTTTCTTTTAATGCTGAGTAATATTCCATTATGTCTATGTACCATAGCTTCTTTATCCATTCATGTATTGAAGGGCATCTAGGTTGGTTCCACAGTTTAGCTATTGTGAATTGAGCTGCATTACTACAGTATGAGGATTTTTAAGTCCTTTGGGTATAGACTGAGGAGTGGGATAGCTGGGTCAAATGGTGGTACCATCCCAAGTTTTCTGAGGAATCTCCATACTGCTTTCCAGATTGGTTGCACCAATTTGCAATCCCACCAGCAATGTATGAGTATGCCTCTTCCCCCATATCCTCACCAACATTTATTTATTATGTTTTTTTGTTTGTTTGTTGTATTTTTGGCAGTGGGTACTGGGGATTGAATTCAGGGGCACTCAACCACTGAGCCACATCTCCATCCCTATTGTATTTATTTAGAGACAAGTTCTCACTGAGTTGCTAAATGCCTCACCAATGCTGAGGATTGAACCCAGGGCCTTGTGCATGCAAGGCGAGTACTCTACCAACTGAGCTGTGTCCCCGTGGTCTATATTCTTGATAACTGCCATTCTGACTAGCATGAGGTGAAATCTTAGAGTAGTTTTGATTTGCAATTCTCTAATTACTAGAGATACTGAACATTTTTTTCATACATTTGTTGATTGAATGTATATCTTCTGTAAAGTGTATGCTCAGCTCCTTAGCCCATTTATTGATTGGGTTGGTTTTTTGTTAAGTTTTTTGAGTTCTTTATATATCCTGAAAATTAGTGCTCTATCTGACATATGTGTGGCAAAAATTTGCTCCCAAAATATAGGTTCCCTGTTTACATCATTGTTTCTTTTGCTGAGAAGCTTTTTAGTTTGAGTCCATTCCATTTATAAACTCTTGATTTTTATTTCTTGCACTTGAGTTTTCTTAAGGAAGTTGAGGCCTAATCTGATATGATGAAAACTTGGGACTACTTTTCCCTCTATTAGGCGCAGGGTCACTGGACTAATTCCTAGGTCCTTGATCCACTTTTGAGTTGACTTTTGTGCATGGTGAGACATAGTGGTTTATTTTCATTTTGCTGCACATGGATTTTTAGTTCTCCTAGCACCATTTGTTGAAGAGATTATCTTTTCTCCAATGTATGTTTTTGGCCCTTTGTATATTTGGACATAAATGTATTTATGTGGGTTTGTCTCTGCATCTTCTATTCTATACCATTGGTCTACATGTCTATTTTTGTGCCAATACCATACCGTTTTTGTTACTATAGCTTTATAGTATAGTTTAAGGTCTGCTATTGTGATGCCTCCTGCTTYACTCTTCTTGCTAAGGATTGCTTTTCTGGGTCTCTTTATTTTTCCAAATGAATTTCATGATTGCTTTTTCTATTTCTATAAGGAATGATGTTGGGATTTTAATTGGAATTGCACTGAATCTGTTTAGCACTTTGGGTAGTATGGCCATTWGACAATATTAATTTTGCCTATCCAAGAGCATGGGAGATCTTGCCATCTTCTAAGGTCTTCAATTTCTTTCTTGAGTATTGTGTAGTTTTCATTGTAGAGGTCTTTCACCGCTTTTGTTGATTCCCAAGTTTTGTTTTTTGAGGCTATTGTGAATGGGATAGTTTCTAATTTCTCTTTCAAAGGATTCATCACTGATGTAAAGAAATGCATTTGAGGGCTGGGGCTGTAGTTCAGTGGTAGAGTGCTTGCCTCACACATGTGAGGCACTGGGTTCGATCCTTAGCACCACATAAAAATGAATAAATAATATTTTTTAAAAAATAAATGTATTTGATTTATGGGTATTGATTTTATATCCTGCTACTTTGCTGTTTAGAAGTTTTCTGGTGGAGTTTTTTTGATCCTCTAAGTATAGAATCATGTCATCAATAAATAATGGTAGTTTGAATTCTTCTTTTCCTTTAATTTATTTTGTCTGTCTAATTGCTCTGGCTAGAGTTTCAAGGACTATGTTGAATAGAAGTAGTGAAGGAGGGCATCCCTGTCTAGTTCCATTTTTTAAAGGGAATGCTTCCAATTCTTCTGCAGTTAGAATGATGTTGGTCTCGGCTTTAACCTAGATAGCTTTTACAATGTTGAGGAATGTTCCTACTATCCCTAGTTTTTCTAGTGTTTTGAACATGAAAGGGTGCTATATTTTGTCAAATGCTTTCTCTGCATCAATTGTTATAATCATATGGTTCTTATCTTTAAGTCTATTGATGTGATGAATTATATTTATTGATTTCTGTATGTTGAACCATAGTTTATTGTTGTTGTTTTGGAGCTGGGGATGGTAGCCAGGACCTTAAGTGCTCTGCCACTGTGCTATAACCCAGTTGTTAGTTTGTTTCATATGGGTTTTTGTTTTATAGTATTGGCAATTAAACCCAGGATCCCTTGCTAGGAAAACGCTCTACCAATGTCCTGTATTGACAGCTCTTTTTATTTTTATTAAGTTGCCCAGGCTGGCCTCAAACTTGCAGGCCTTAGCCTCCCAAATAGCTGCAATCATTAGCATGTGGCACCAACCACACCTGGCCCAGTTGTTATAGTTTTTAAATGGGGAGAAGGGAAAAAAAACTTTGTGATATATATAAATACATGAATTAAATGAAATTCAAATTTCAATGAAGATGGGAAATCAGTCACAACAATCATTTACATATTGTCTGTGGCTACTTCCCAGACATACTAGCAGGGACAGATTATATGGCCTGCAAAGCCTAAAGTATTTAATATCCATATTTTTATAGAAGAAGTCTGCCAACCCATGGTCTAAACTAATAAGAACAGAGAGATAAATAAATGAGAAATATTAATGTGGAAGAATGAATCCTCCTGCTGATTGATTAGATCAGAAAACTAAGAGATTCAACAAAAGAAATGTCGAGGATTATGTTAAGATTTCTAACCAGGTGTGGTGGCATAGGTCTGAAATCCCAACTACTCAGGAGGCTAATAAAGAAGGATTGCAAGTTAGAGGCCACCCTGGGGAATTTAGGGAAACCATGTCTCAAAATGAAAAATAAAAATTACTGGGGATAGAGCTCAGTATTAGAAAGAAAAAAAACAGAAGGATGTGATGAGTAAGAATARAATTCTCTGTAAAACAGAAAAAGAGAAAGACACTTGTGGGTGAATTGGGGAAATTATTTTTTCAGATCTGGACCGATTGACTTTGAGGCATTTCTGACATACCCAAGAAGAGATCTTCAGTACACAGTTGGGCATATGGGTCGGGAACTTGGGGATGATTACAGAGAAATGAGCATGCAAAAGGTATTCAAAGCCATTGGAATAAGATCACTAAGAGAAAACTTCACAGGCAGCAGAAAAAACTAACAACAACAATTATTTGATCAATTATCAAGAACTGCTATCTACTAACTCTCAGTTAGCCTATGTTTACATTCTTTTTTTTTCCCCCTCTATGTGGAATGATTGCTTGGAGTCCTGGAGGAGCAAGATGGCCCCACACTTCTCCAAATCCACATTTCTCCAAATCCACATTTCTTTTCCTCCAAAGACTGGGAACCAAAGACACGCCTTTGTAGGAGGGTAAATATTTACATTCTTTACTGATCTCTTTGTTCTCATGATTCAATTTCCTTTTGTATTTGTTGCCCCTCCAAAGAACATAACATGTAGTCTTGTTTTCAAAAAGTGTATATTACTTGTTTTTTAACACATTTTTATGATACTATGTCGGCTTCTCAGTAATCTCTATTTTAAACCTGTTTCTGAAATTGCTAGAGGGATGCTATTCTTGAATGCACCAGATTGGACAAGGGAAGATGGGGGAAGAGAGAGGAGAGGAGAATAGGGATGACATAGAATGAACTGGACATAACTTTCTATGTTGATATGAATACATGACCAGTGTAATTCCACATTATGTGCAACCACAAAAATGGAACCTTATACTCCATATACGTATATCAAAATACATTCTACTGTCATGCATAATTAAAAAGAACAAATAAAAAATTATTAAAATAGAAGTCATGAATGACATCGGCGTCCGTGGACTATCTCCTTTCTGTACTTATATACTTAAATAAAATTTTTAAAAGGAGGATAAAGTCAATCTACAGATTACAAAAAAAGTAGAGGATTATATGGGGAATACTGCTTTATTCTTATCATTTCAATTTTCTCTTCAAAATTCTTTATTAAGAATGAAGATGTTGGGCTGGGGCTGGGGCTCAATGGCAGAGCGCTTGCCTAGCATGCGTGAGGCACTGGGTTCATCCTCAGCACCAGATAAAAATAAACAAATAAAATAAAGAAGAATGGAGATGCTGATCTCAATATATTTAAGTTCTCACATTTCTAAAAACAACCCTGGAACAATGTATTTTGCATATTAAAGAGAAAATCACAGCTTGTCTTAATGAAAGCCTTTTCTTAATCTAAGCATAATAAATTTATTTCCCACCACATTCCTTTGCCATATACTGTTATTTTTTTCACTTAGCTTCTTCACATCTCATTTATGGCAAATTGTTCCCTTGGCATCTCATCTTCTCTACTATTCCCATCAATCTTTCCTACAAGATTTTTACAAAAAATCTTATATTCAGTGTTTAATATTAATAGCAGGTACCAGTTCTCAGATTTCTCCCACTTCCTATTAATGCCAGTTTCATTCTGCTTATCAACTCACTTCTAAAGAGATGCTAAGAATGTGCTTAATGATTAATACAGACTCCAGTGGCTGTGGCCATTAAACCCAGAAGTTCCTTTCCCTCTTCAGCAATTTTTTTGTTTTGCTCACTTACAGAACCTAGGTGTCTATTGTTGCATTATTTGCTCATCTTTTTGACACAATATTACAGCCACCTGATCACCCATTTCTTCACCTAAAATCCCCACCCCTCAAATTCTTCTCATGTCAAAACAAGTTAAAAAAAATTCCTCAAACATTCAATATTAACTTAAGGAAACTAAATGTGTTTTCACCTACCAAATCTCCTTGCAAAAATCTAAGAAGTGGAAATCCATGACWTATATTTTGGCTTTAAGCTTATGTTTGCTTGAGTCTGGTTATAAAGACTTCTCCTATTTGCTTTCTGATTTTTAATATTTGTTCCAATTTCTTCAACTCTTTTTCCTTTTATGCTTTTCATTAATCATATCTGCATTCAGATAGGACTGTTTAGCTCTTTAATTCCTTTAGCTTTAACCATTCTCAGAGCCTTTACTTCCTTTGATACCTCCACCATCCCATCACCTCTAAAAAAAAAAAAAGCTTCTCTTCTAGTTATTCCTCCTATTACTTTTAGTTTCCTCGTATCCCAAAAGTAATTTGCTTATCTTCTAAATGAGTCTGCCAAAACTTCCCAGCTCTTGAAAAATTAATTTTAGTTCTTACTATTACCTAATGGAAAAATAAATTATTTTCACTTTGCCACACATACTCTTCTGTTGAATTGACAAAACTATAGGAATACTTTTCTTCTTTTCCTAAATATATTCCAGACAGGTGATAGCACATAAACTCTAAAAAGTATAATTTAATTCATCATTTATAAAAGGATGCTCATTATCTGGATTCATTGGGGGTATTTTTAAATTATTACTTTAAGACCTTTTATTCACTTATAACATCCAAGATATTCTACTTATAATAGGCAAGAAAGATACCAAATAATTTTTTTCTTTCAAATTTACTTGCCAATGAGAGACAGATGTGGATAATGGGTGATTTGGCTAGATGGACAAATAGACCTTCACAAACATAGTCCATCTGTTGAGAGCCACAGCCAAAGGGGCTCCAGCAAACTTTCAGACTGCCAGCTGATGATTGGCTCACAGCGGCCCCAGCAACATCTAGCTGATTGGCTCCTCTGCGGTGATGCTCATTGGGCTGTTTCCCTGCCCTTTCA